CAACTGACAGCGACAGTTAACTCCAACTGACAGCGACAGTTAACTCCAACTGACAGCGACAGTTAACTCCAACTGACAGCGACAGTTAACTCCAACTGACAGCGACAGTTAACTCCAACTGACAGTGGATGTCAGCGCCATCTTCTAACGGCAATAGCGATAGCGAGGGCGGCTCCTCACATCTCCCCCTATTCATTTATTTTTGAAGCAATAGGACACCCACAACTTTGGAGTGGAGATAGAGGTCAAATCCCCATGTGCAAATTCGGAACATGTACAAAGCTCCTCTCCAGGGTCTTATCCCCAGAGGAAGTCCTGACCAGTCCGATGTCTTTTTTCTGGGGGAAGGAGATCATGACATAGAACCTTCATGCAAGATGACTTATCTCCCAGGAGAAAGTCGTTATACCATGAACCTCTCCTGTGCAGTGCTTAGCCTTGCAACTCCTTGGGCTGCTGAAGCCTACCCACTCTATCCCGTGCAATGAGACTAGCCTCGTGGGGTGCAAGAGCTGGGAGGCCAGCGACCTATTGCTTTAACATGGTTAACCAAATGTCAGGGGATGCTCCGTGTTCTAAGGCAGCAAGTGCTTGTGCCACCACCACTTTCTCCTTTTGTTTGGGCTCTGAGCGTACACACCATCCAAAGCATCAACACTATTCCACAGCAGAGAACTAGGCTAAATGATCCTACCCCCACCCATTCCTTAAAATAAGAAAATGCAGATGAAATCCAGGGGAGAGGTCTTCCATCAGAGAAAGATCCAGATGCGTCGAATTCACTTGCAGGATCGCCATTCTCAACTCACGGAGTGTCTGCTCAAACTCAAAAGTCCAATTCTGTAATAAATGTTGAGACAGAGCTTTTGACAGGTTAGCTGCTCTTGTAAAATTCTCATATTGTACTAAGTGACACAAAGGCCAGGCAACTTTGTTCACATCCCAATTTGGCCATCTGCCACAATATATCCAATTGTTCCTGAACCAAATTAATCTGTTGGTTTACCAACATCAGGCCTCCTTGTATCTGAGAATTGGCAGTGGCCTGTTTATCTAGGACCATGGTCACAGTGGCCTATAGTTCATTAATGGTTTGAGTTGTCTGCACAGTGGCAGAAAGTGCAAGGGCCGAGGCGGTAACCGAAGCAGTAACCGCGGCGGTGGCTATCAGGCCCACAATAATAGCAGAGATCCCAAAAATCTCGCTTTTCCCTAAACAAACTCAAATTACTTGGCGCCTCAACAGGAGCTGGAATAAATCGAGGCATGCGCATTACCAAAGCAAAAGGGTGCTTAATAGCATCCCAGCATAATGCATAAAAACAATTCTAAGCAGAACAATTTATTTCTTTCTGATTCTTACCTAAGGTATCATTACTCACAACCCAAATAAAGGGCAGCTGAATAATTAGTTCTCTTAAAAGGGGTATACTTAACATTGGAGGAGGACCAATCAGATGATCCAGAGCTCTGTCCCTCACTCAGACTGTTGCCTAATGCCCCTTTCCAATCAAAAGTAATCTGTCCCTTCTCACTATCATAGGAGAAAGATCAGTACAGCTTCCATTAATTCAAAAGGATTAGCATTAGATCTTTCTGGATCCATATGAATAAAATTATCCTTTAATGAAGAAATCACAGTAAAGCACAAGCTTCCTACTAATGACAAGGTTCTCTCATCCTGAAAACTCTGTATCTGAGGATCTAAAGGCAAAAAGGCAAGCCCCAACTCTCTATTATTTGTGAAAAATCTAGGGAACACCTGGGCATTCTGCATCACTGGCATCGGTAGGGGAAGGTAGACATGATGGCCCACCGTAACTCTCCCATCATACTAGGAACCATCATCCCGAGTAGGAGAGTCTTCATCACCCACTTGGCCTCCATCCTTCTTATTCTGGAGTTGTGAAGGAGCTCTTCGAGTGAGTCTTTCAGGGATCCACAGGGGGTTTTCTTCCTCCTGTGGAAAAACACACACAGCTCCCCTGGATCTTATAAGAATAGGATCCGGGCCTTTCCAGAGATCAGTCAAGACATCTTTCCATTTTACCATTTCTTTTGGCCTATCAGGCTCTAAACTGTGGCGATCAGCCGCAGTGTGGCCTTGGGCATCACAGTTCAAGAAATTAAGGGTAAAAAGTGCCATGGATACAGCAACTCTTGGTACCGAGGGTAGAACATCCTCAATACTCCCCTTTTGTTTAATCAGATATGATTTGAGTGTACGATGGGCACGTTCCACAATGCCCTGTCCTTGAGGGTTATAAGGTAGGCCAGTTAGATGGGTAACATCCATTTGCCGACAAAACTGTCGGAATTTTTGAGAGGTATATGCTGGTCCATTGTCTGTTTTTAAAATTCTGGGTTTTCCCCAAGCACTCCAGGCCTCAAGGCAATGTTGAATCACATATGAGGCCTTTTCCCCTGTTAGGGGTGTGGCAAACATTACGCCAGAACAGGTGTCAACAGAAACATGAACATATTGAAGCCTTCCAAAAGAGGGAATATGAGTAACATCCATCTGCCACATCTGCAATGGTCTAATGCCACGTGGGTTTATTCCCATGTGGGGAGTAGGTAAGAATTCGCAGCAATTCTGGCATTGAGTAACAATTTCCCTAGCCTCTTTCCTGGATAGAGCAAAACGACGGCGCAAGGTCTCAGCCGTCACATGAAAGCGCTTATGGAATTCTTTTGCTGCTTGTGCATGGGTAGACAAGGCAGCGGCCACCAGCTTTGTAGCCTTGTCCGCTAAGTCATTCCCTAAGGACATGGGACCTGGGAGTCCAGAATGTGCTCGGACATGGGTAATGAAAACAGGAAATCTCCTATTTAACAAGGCAGCTTGTATCTTCTGAAAGATGTTAGCAACTCTGCTGGAGGATCTTATTATTCCAGCTATCTCAAGGAGATTAACTGCATTAACCACATAAGAGGAATCTGATACAATATTGAGGGGTCCTGGAAAAGCCTCAAGAACCTCCAGTACTATCAGACATTCTACAACTTGAGGTGAAGTTTCATTATATTGTTTAGATATAACCCTATCCTTGACCACATAAGCTCCCATACCAGTTTTTGATCCATCAGTGTACACCACAGTCCCATCTGGGAGTGGGTCTTTAGCTGTCACTTGTGGAAACACTATAGCCTGGTTTAGGGCAAACTGTAAAATTGGATGCTTTGGAAAATGATTATCAATTTGTCCTGAAAAGGAAGTAACTAAAACTGCCCAATCACTAGATGTGGCTGCCAAGGTCTGAACTTGTGCAGCAGTATAAGGCACAATCAAGGAATCAGGATCCCTGCCAAAATGTGTAACAGCTGCTTTTATTCCGCGAAGCGCGAGCTGTGCAACAGCATCAGGGTACCAGTCAATAATCTTAGCAGGGGAAGCATTTGGATGAATCCAAAGTAATGGTCCATGTTGCCACAGGACTGCAGTTGGCAATTGAGCTGTCTTAAAAACACACAGATTAAAAGGTAGTGACTCCTCAATTCGTTGTAATTGTGCTTCCTGTAAGGCCTCTTCCACCATCTGTAAGGCTCGGTGGGCGGCAGGGGTAAATTTTCTGGGTGAGGAGATATGAGGCTCACCCTCCAGGAGATCGAAGAGGGGTTTTAGATCAGCAGATGGAATTTTTAAAAAGGGCCTCAACCAATTTATATCTCCCAGAAGTTTCTGAAAATCATTTAATGTTTGTAAGTGGTCTTTGCGAATTTCTATTTTCTGAGGAACTATATTTTTGGGAGTAATCTTTGAGCCCAAAAAGAGGCCTGTATCTGCAATTTGAACCTTTTCTGAGGCAATCTCTAATCCCCACTGTTTTAATTCAGCCACCAGCATGGGAAAAGCCTTTTGTAAAACATCTAACTCTTTGTGACAAATAAGAATATCGTCCATATAATGGATAACGATTAAAGATGTAAATTGCTTCCTAATTGGCTCCAAAGCCTCCTGCACATATAGCTGACATATTGTTGGGCTATTGGCCATGCCTTGCGGCAGTACCTTCCACTGAAATCTCTTGTCTGGTTCCATATGATTAAGAGAAGGGATAGTGAAGGCAAACCTTGGTCTATCCCGTGGGTAAAGTGGAATAGAGAAGAAACAATCCTTAATATCTATAATAATAAGCTTCCAATCTTGAGGAAGTGCAGAAAGCAAAGGAAGGCCTCTTTGAACAGGGCCAAAAAGATGCATCTGATTGTTAATGGCCCGCAGGTCGTGGAGTAATCTCCACTTCCCAGATTTCTTCTTAATAACAAAAATTGGTGTATTCCATGGGGAGGTAGAAGGCTCTAGATGCCCCAGCCGTTCCTGTTCTTGCACTAATCTTGTGACAGCCTCTAATTTTTCAGAGGATAGAGGCCATTGAGAGACCCATAACGGCTCCTCTGTTTTCCATGGTATGGGTCGTGAAGCCTCAACGGCCCCTAAATAAAACCCAGTCCTTTTCTACCCCGATTTCCGTGTTGTGTAATGGGTTTTATTCTGCCTTGTTCTTGCCTACCCAAGCCTCTACCATTTGTATACCCCATCTTTGCCATAATGGCTGATGCCTGGGGGAGTATTCATTAGTTAGGGTCATGCCCATGGCTTGTAACACATCTCGTCCCCATAAATTTACAGGGAGTGGCAACACATAGGGGGTAAAACATCCCTGTTTGCCTTCAGCATCCCGCCAGGTTAAGGCTGAGG